CACACTTACAGGATGGCCAGGGTGTCAGACTCACCCAGCAGGGGTTTAGGAGGGCTAGGTCATGTTGGACCAACTTGGTCTCTCTTTATGAGTGGGTGACCTGCCTGGTGGATGCAGGAAGGGCTGTGGATGTTGTGTAGCTGGACTACAGCAAGGCCTTTGGCTCTGTCTCCCACAGAACACTCCTGGAAAAGCTGCAGCCCACGGCTGGGCCAGGAGCACTCTGTGCTGGGTTCAGAACTGGCTGCATGGCCAGCCCAGAGTGTGCTGGTGAGCAGTGCTGCATCCAGCTGGGGACAGGCACCAGTGGTGTCCCTCAGGGCTCTGTGCTGGGCCAGTTCTGTTCAATATTTTTATTGATGGCATGGATGAGGGCATTCAGAGTTTCATCAGTAAATTTGCAGACACTACTGAGCTGGGAGCATGTGTCCTGTTGGAAGGTTGGAGGGCTCTGCAGAGAGTCTTGGAACAGTTGGATGGATGGGCAGAGTCCAATAGGATGAAGTTTAATGAATCCAAGTGCCAAGTCCTGCATTTTGGCCACAATAACCCCTGCAATGTTATAGCCTGAGGACGGTGTGGCTGTTCTGTGTCCAGGCAGAAGGGGACCTGGGGGTACTGGTGACAGGCAGTTGAACACGAGCCAGCAGTGTGCCCTGGTGGCCAAGAAGGCCAAGATGCTGGATCAGGAACAGGGTGGCCAGCAGGAGCAGGGAGGTCATTCTCCCCCTGCACTCGGCACTGGTGAAGCCACACCTCGAGTGCTGTGTCCAGTTCTGGCCCCTCAGTTTGGGAAGGACATTGAGACGCTCAAGCACATCCAGAGGAGGCACCGAGGCTGGAGAGGAGCTTGGAGCACAAGCCCTGTGAGGAACGGTTGAGGGAGCTGGGGGTATTTAGGCTGGTGAAGAGGAGACTCAGAGGTGACCTTGTCACTCTCTACAGCTCCCTGAAAGGTGGTTTTAGTCAGGTGGGGTTGGTCTTTTTCTCCAAGCAGCAACTGACAGAATGAGAGGACACAGTCTTAAGCTGCACCAGGGGAAATACAAGTTGGATATTAGGGAAAAGTTTTTTACAGAAGGGGTGATAAAGTACTGGAATGGCCTCCCTGGAGAGGTGGTGGAGTCACCATCCCTGGATGTGGCACTTGGTGCCATAGTTTAGTTGAGGTGTTGGGGCATGGGTTGGACTTAATGATCTTGAAGGTCTCTTCCAACCTGGTTATTCTGTGAATTCTGTGAATTATTGGCTCAGTTGTAAAACTCTTCTCCCCAGGGAAGGTGTGGGGACACTCACATTGACACAGGACATTCAATAATCTTGAGGGTGTTAATCCCTTCTGATGGGGCATAACTGGCTTAACTATGCTAATGTGAGAGGCAGCTGTCATGTCTTAAAAGGTGTAATAAACCATCAAAGGGGTAATAAATCATCAAAGATGCCCACTGTATCCCCAGACTCTTTCTGGGACCTTGCATCAGAGGACTGTGCATTATCCGCAATGTTGCACCAGTCACTGTAAACTGTTCCCTCAGGAGAGGTACCCTGGGCACTCCCACATAAGCCTAAACATTGAACTCTGT